ATTTCCTGTCTCCAACATATTGGGGCTTATCCTGTGCCAAGCTCACTTCAGCGTTTCCATCTGTGTACAAACAGGAAGTGATCTATCAAGTTAGTGTATCCTTTTTGAAGGTTCTATTTTGAAAGTCTGTAGAGGGCTAACTCATTTCAAGAAGGCATTGCCAAATGAGGATTTCTAAAACACTTGTTAGTTCAATTTTACCTGTGAGAACTGGCCAGATAGTTTTCCTCCACTGATGTTCCTTTCTAAGAATTCCATAAATTTTTTTCTGAAGATTTAAAGTGCACACATGTCTGAAATCTAATGATGGTCATACTCTGTACCAAACATCTCATTTTGCAATTGAATAAAAGTCAAGAGAGTAAGTTTTTAGAAGTAATACTTAAAAACCATTTAGAGGCTGCTAACGAATAGTTCACAGACACATAGTCCGATTTTTAGTGTGTCTGTGTAATTAAATCCCTTTAATGTTTATACATATTTGACAAGAAAAAAATCTGTCCTCTTTACCCCTCCCCCATTCTCCAATTTCTGTTATACTCTTACACCATAAAACTTAGCAGGGGACTTTTTACCAGACATTCCTAACCAAGTACTTTGGAGAAGATAGCTAACCCATTTATGTTATCATTAATCTGGGGAATGACTATGTATAACTGCTTTCTAGAAAGGATGGTAAACTGAACTCAGTGACAATATTCATGGGACCGCAATTGACTTTTGGTGTCTGATGCGAGCATGAACGCAACAGAGCAACCTTCAGTGCTGAATTTGATCTCTGGTCTAGGAGGGCCAGGCATGAATGTTTGCCTTCTGCACTCACTTCGTTATTCGACTTTCTTATTTCAATCAGACTGTAGAGAATCAGAAGGTCATGGTCTCAGAAACAGCAAAATTACCCCAGGAACAGGAGAAAGTGAGTCAGCAGCTCGCTACTGGCAAAACTCTTCTGCTCAGTCTTACATATGAGTTACATGATACTGAACCATTGCTCCCAGAGGATGTATGCACAGAAACATGTACACACATATGTGTGCATATTAATGTACAGCCACCGCACCAAAATATCTTAAATTCTAAAAGCAACGTATCTTGGTAGAGTTCGTTTTCTTCCTTTCACAAAACAGCCAAGGAGGTCAGAAGTAAGGGGCTAGCCTGAGACCACCCCATTACCAAGTGCCTCAGTCACCTGGTCCCTGAGCCAGAGCCTCTGTTGTCTCCATCCTATGGTCTCCTTGTGCATAAGTGTTGACACCAAAGGCAGAGCATCACCTTGTTCAACCTCAGCCAGCTGTATTCGAGGCAGTGCACATTTTTTGATGTGCTGTGTATGTCTACAAAAGGGCCCCAAGCATTGATTTAGGGGTTATAAGAAAAATTTAAAAATTTTTACATAGTAGGAGAATTCCTATATACAAAATCAGTAAATAATGAGGATGGACTGAATGTGATTTGTGAGGAGATGAGCCGATTGAATGCAGAGTCAGGAGCTTCTGCCAACACCCCTTCCACAACTTTTGGCTGTTTGTTTTTCATTCCTTAGGGACTTATCAGAGACTTCTTGTCTAACCAGCAATACACAAGACCCCTCTCTCAGCTGTGTTGGATCATGTCGCCATTTTTAACTTCCTTTATATACCTATCACAATCTGGAAATTTTGTTTGTTTGCTTGTTCAGCCTATTTCCTACGGCTTCTTTGGCTCTCCTGCAGCCTACCATATAGAATGCTGCTGTCTGATGTGCTGTGGGAACCCAGTAGCTACTTTTTGAATGAATGGTTGAGTGTGGCCCTTTTCAAGAAGGATTATAAGTGTTTGGTAAAAGTATTTGGGGCATAGGCTCACGTGACATTGGCTGTGGCACTTGCAGCCTCAGGTGACAAGTTAGAGCCTGTAAAAAGAGGTGGCAATAAAGTCTGAATTCAGAAAGAATCAAGACTAGGTCTAACTTTAGAGGAATTAACTTAGAGTGTGTACAAAGACACGAAGCTGGTACTGAAGACCAGAAGCAACAATGGGGCCAAGATGATGTATTTCAAAAGGCGAAAGAAAGCTGCTCCGCCTAGATGCTCCCTCCTCACGGGGGAGGCCAAAAGAGGAATAAGGGGAAACAACTGAGCTGCATAATTTGAAGGGCTGAGGTGACCATTTGTCATCAGTATACTTGGGGAAAAATAGCAGTGAGGGGACTGGCATGGGAGGAGGATGCAATTTTAAGCTACATTTTTGTCCTGAAAAGTCACAGGCTCTGAAAGACCAGTGCCCCATTTGCAGTGTGGTCTAAAGATGGACCCACTGCTGCCTTTAGCTTAGGGACCAGGAAAAAGCTGATGACACAAAAATGGAAATGTAGGTTGAAGAAAGAAGGTTGGGGAATTATTCCTTCATCCTTAGATTGGCTCTACTCAGAGCACTTCCATCAACCACGATGATTTCCAAATCAAAAATGGTGAATCCAAAATGAAGCTAAAATCATAACTAGTAGTTGCTAGCTTCCAAACCAAACTTAAGAACTAAAAACACCTGAACATATTGCAAGTAACCTATAAAGCCTGTCATATTTGAATTCTTGGTTCATATAAGAAATAAAGTCCAATCAAATCATTAACTTTTTAAAGTAATATACAAAACAGTACAACTGTGGAAAACTTCATTGTAGTGCAGTAATTTCAGAAATATAGAATAATATTCAACTTATTTTATTGTACCTTTAGGGATATAAGAATGCTAGAGTTAACAAAAATTTGGAACTTGATCAAAGTGGAAGAAGAGATTCAACTTTCTGGTCTTAAAGAAAAATTCAGTCTGTATTCTTTGAAAGATCCAGGGAAAATACTTGGCCTTGAATTAACAGATCATGTTCCAAAATTTCTGGGAATTTATATTTTGGGGTGATGGTGACTGTGGTATCACATTTCTCAGAACATATTTGGCTCAAGGTAGTAGATTTCAGTCCACTTTCTTTTGGTAAAGCCAACCTAGCCAACCTAGAAATCAAAAGTCAGAATTTGGACTAAATTGAACCTCATGTTAGAATGGTAACTAGGACGGTTTTCCTACCATAGAGTAACTCAAATCCCAGTGAGTTTTGAGAGTGGAATGGATTCCATTGAGAGGAAACACCCAGGGTAAGGGAGATTTTGGCTAAATCCACCTAACAGGATTCTTGCTTGAAGGCAGACTGGAGGGTCACCGGAGCCCATGATTATCTGCCTTGCGGCATTAGCCTGAATTCAACGTTCTGCACTTCTCAACCAATGCATTTTTAATTTTTTCTTTGGTAATTGGACTAACATTTAGCAAATAACAATGTGTACTAATCTGATATAGGACGTGATGACATGGTTTGCTACAAATGGCTGGTGACCATCATCTTCTCAAGATGTCTTATGCAGTCTTTATGTGGTATCTGATTAGGAACAAAATTCAAGGACATGGTTTTTGTGGGCCAGGATCACTGGATTTTCAACCTCAACTCATGACTCTACTTCCAGTTTATCTCAGTCATAAAGAATGAAATTACTCCAGTAAAGAGTCTTCCAAATCAAGGGGGCTCATGACTGGACCTAGTTTCCTCCATGAGATATGCTAGGATAATCAGTGCCATTGTCATTCTTTGCAACATTACAACTTCTCCTGAGGCTGTGCTAAAATAATAAAGCTTGTGCATACTTGCTCCCTCTCCCACAGCTGTGACTTCTGGGTTTCTCTTTGTGAATAAGCATTTCAGAATTGCCATGAGGTGGAGGAAATAGCACGTACAGGGTTTTTCTCAAGTCCACTTGCCAAGAATGAGCTAATTGTAACTCTCCCTTGCATGCAGTGAGTCTCGAAATCTTCAAAGATGGGCCATTCTGTCTTGATCCACCTTTCCATGAGAATGGTGTGCTTTCATTTGTACAACTTTGGTTTTTAAGAATACCAGGGGGGACGTTTTAAATTATGTCATAAGATTAATACATCAGACGCAATCGGGTGCATTCAGGGTGACATAGGTAGACATGATTAATACAACATGAAACCATCTTTTTGGTATTTATTTTTTTGCTATCTCACAATGAGTAAATCTAAACTTGATGTTTATATAGAAATGTTAAATAAATACAATGGAAGCTTGCTACATTAACTTTTGGAAAATTTCTCTAGAAGATCTTAATAGTAATCTGTCCTCCATGAAGCAATAAGATTAGGTAGTTTTAAACTTACTTTTTGTTTAAAAGAACAGATTTAACACTTTTTAAAAATACAAAAGCAGGATTATAAATGTATTTCACTTGTCAATTCCATGTCAATTTCCAACTAGTTGATAATGGCAATGTACATGTTGTGTTAGAAAAGATTCTGAGTCTGAATCTGGCTTAGCAGTAATGATTGCTGTCAATTGGATAATAATGGTTTACAAGGATACAAAATGAGGATGGGTACAAATGTCCCATATTTGCCATCCTTACATAATAGGAAGGATAGTTAACATCTTAAAATTGTTTTTAGAGCCTGCTATGGTGTTGCATGCCTGTAATCCCAGCTACTCAGGAGGTAGAGATTGGGAGGATGGTAATTTCAGACCAGCCCAGGCAAAAAATTAGTAAGATCTCCACAAGTTGAGCTTGGTGGTTCATGCCTCTAATCCCAGTTATTGGGAAGGCAGAAATTGGGAGGATCACAGTTGGAAGCTAGCCAGGGCAAAAGTTAGCAAGATCTCATCTTAGTTCAAGCTGGGCATGAATTTTAGCTACTGGGAGGCATTGTGGTCTGAGGCTGGCCCCAGCAAAAATGTGATGCCCTTTCTGAAAAATAACTAAAGCCAAAAAAGGCTACGGGGGTGGCTAGAGTGGTTAGAGTGCTTGCCTGGCAAGTGTGGGGTTCCAAGTTCAAACCCCAGAGCTGCCAAATATATATATATTTAGAGACTATTAGAAATATATTAGTCTACATTAAAAAAATACATTTAACTGAAAACAAAGGCCAAATTTATTTTATTAATCTTTATTAATCCTTAGGTCAATGCATCCCGTCAAGAAGCCAAGTTGACAGAAGAATGTGATCTTCTCATTGAGATCATTCAGCAAAGACGACAAATTATTGGAACCAAGATCAAAGAAGGGAAGGTATGATTTCTAGGGCAGAAGATTCATGTTCTCCACCTGGAGAAAATGTAGTCCCTTACACTTCAGTGACTTTGGAAATGTTAAACATTCTCACTATACTTTCCACAATTCCCTTTAAGTCTTTGTCTTAGTTCATTTTGTGTTGCTATAACAGAATACCTGACGTTGGGTAGTGTATAAAGAAAAGAGGTTTATCTGTCTCATGCTTCTGGTGGCTGGAAAATCCAAATACATAGCACCCACATCTGATGAGGGGCCCTTCGCTGTGTCACAACATGACAGAGAAGCAGAAGGGGTATTGGGCACATGCTAAAGAAGCATAAGCGTACCTGCTTATGTGGTAACTACCCAGTCCCAGATCTAACTTACTCCTTTGACAAGGGCATCGATCTTCCAAGAGTGGTGTTGCCCCATGGCTCAGAACACCTCTTACAGGTCCCAGCACCTCTCAAAACCATTACACTGGGGACCAAACCTCAACATGAGTTTTGATGGGGACAAATTGTATTTAACCCATAGCAGTCTTTGAGTTTTAGTTCAAACGCCCTTGCTCGATCCTGTGGGCCTTGGGCTCCTGTGCACACCTGTCATTAGGCTGCCCCCTTGCTCAGATCAGGGTTTGGCTTGGAAGTCTTGTCTATTGTTTTCTGTCTCACTTGTCTATGAGAAGGTTGGTTCCATAGAGGAAGGGTCCATTTCATATTTATTGCTCCATCCTGGCAATCAGCATAGCCTTAAATAAATTAAAAATGAATCAAACTTTAGAGAAATTATGAAGTACTTTCCTGTGTCTTAGGGAATTACGAAAGGTATAACATCATACTCACAAAACTTCTATAGTGTCCCCTGTCATAAACTTCTTTGTGTGTATAATAGTAACACTTCTTGCTTAATGTTTTTGTGTTATAAATTTTTATGGTTTTCCAGGAAAACTGTATTTTTAAAAATTATAAATTTATATTATATTCTTTTTTTTTTCTGTTTCTAAGGTTTGAATCCGGGGCCTTGCACTTGCTAGGCAATCTTTCTACCATTTGAGCTATGCTCTCAGCCCTTTTCATTTTGTTTTAGAGATAGGGCCTAGGCTATTTTGCCCAGGCTGGTCTTGAACTTTTGATCCTCCTGCCTCCTTTTCCTGAGTAATTGGATTATGGGTGTGTACCACCACACCCTGCTAAGTTTACATTGTATTTTTTATGACCACTTTATTATTAATTCAAAGTTCATTCAAAAACTATTGGTAACTTTAGAATTGATCATGTTTTTATATTTTAAAATTGGTCATATTTTATTGAAATACTTATTTAAAATTGGTCATATTTTATTGAAATATTTATGATCCTTTTTATCTTACGTATTTCTTTGCCACCCTCCAAGGATAAGTTTTCTAAATATTTTGAAAATAAAAGCATTCATTCATGTTCCAAGAAATTCATGAATTTTTATTACTGATCATAGGTACACTTTAATGAAATATGTTTCATTAAAGCATATTGTTTTAATGTTGCTGGAGATGCAACCCAGGGACTATTTAGCATGCTAAACTAGGCTTCTACCACTGAGCTACATCCTCAGCCCTGAACTGACAAGTTTTAAGCAAAGCACAGATTACAGTGGCTAATGTATGTGCTTTTCTCTGTTTTCTACAAAATTTAACATGTACCTTTTAATATTGTACAATGTTTTAAATTACTCACTCTTTGCAGATTGAAAATTATTGGTACATGTAAATTAATAGTGATCTAAAAAACTGAAAGAGTAATGTGCAATTATTTCCTGGCCAAGAATGAACTCATATGAAATATTTGAATATTTCACGAGAAGCTACTTTCCCCACATCCAGATTGCACAATGCAGAAGAGCACCATGTATCCATCTGGTGTCCTTGTAGGATACTGTTCCCCTTGCATCATCCTCATCGTGCACCACGTGGGCACATCTCTTAAATCCCGACATCTTCCAGGTTCTCAGATGCCTGGCTCTCTGGAATACAGCCACAAGTAATCACTAGTACGCACAGGGAATGGAATTCTCTTATCCTTACATGGTTGCTTGCGAGGATCAGCTCTCAATACTCGTATTAGTTTCTTTTTTTAAACTTTTACTTCTACGTGTAAATTGACAAATTATAGTTGTATATATTATGAGGTACAAGGTGATTTTATGGTTTATGAATACAATGTGGAATAATTAAATCAAGCTGGCTAACCTATCCATCACCTCAACTACTCATTTTTTTTTATGGTGAGAACATTTGCAATGTAGTGTCTTAACAATTTTGAAATGTACAGTACATTGTTTTTGCTATATTCATCAAGCTGTGTACTGTCTCAAAGTAACAAAAAAGCTTGCTCCTCCTGTCTAATTGTGGCTTCATATGCTACTCATATTAGGTTTCTTATTGCTGCTATAACAAATTACCATAAACTTGGTGGCTTAAAACAGCCCAGATTTATTATCTTAGTGTTCTGGAATTCAGAAGTCCAAAATCCATCTCATTGGGTTAAAGTCAAGGTTTGGTTGTTTCTTTCTGGAGGCTCTAGGGGAGAATCCATTCGCTGCTTTTCAAGCTTGTACAGGCCACCCACCTTCCTGGCTCATGGCCTCTTCCTCACCTCCCTCTGACCTCTGTTTCCATCCTCCCATCTTCTCTAACACAGATCTTCCTGCTTTTCTCCTACAAAGACCTTGGAGTTTACAGTGGCATCACCCACATAATCCAGGACAACCTTCCCATCCCAAGATAATGACATCGGCAAAGTCCCTTTTGCCATGAAAGGTCATCTATTCAAAGATTCCCAAAGTTAGGATGTGAGCGTCTTTGAGGACTCTTACTCAGCTGGCACTAACATGGCGCCCACCTCCCCGGCCAGCATGCCTTCTTCCTTCCCCTTACGTAGCCCAGGTGAGGGTCTCTCTCATGAGCTAGATCAGAGTAGTGAAAGTTGGCCTGATCTTAGCCATGGTGATACATGGAGTTCATGCTTCCATGCATTCGCCCCCACCCTAACACATTATCAGTAGAGAATATGATAAAATGCAAAAGCAAAGAGACGTAGTTGGACTGAAACAAGATAAACAGTTCCATTGGGGCAGAAGTGGGACAAAACCGCAAAGCTGTGATTGTTGCTAAAGACACCGAGATTTCTGCCTTTTGGTCTAGAAGAGGCCATAGCAGCTATGGCCCCAATACCCATGACCAAATCATTCTTGAAACTTTGGGGAAAAGGACCTAGAAGTGCTTCAGTTATGATGGGGGACTGAAATCATACTCACTGCTTAGTGCCACAGACTGTGTGAGATTTCTCAGTTCATTAAAAGGGACCGAAAAAAATTATTGCCAACTTCTGCCTAGTGTCATAGCTTTTAGCAAACTTGAGGTCTGGCATTCTGGAACAAGTCAGTTGCTGAGTTGGGGCCTGTGCTTCGTTTTCTGATATCCCACAGGACAGAAGCCTCAGCAGCACAGAGATAAGATAGGGTAACTGAGTGCCGAGCCTGAGGGCCAGGTGAAGGCAACTGTGAAACCATTAGATAAGGTAGGCAGAACAAGGAGGAGAGAGCAAGGAGTTATCCCTAACTTTTTCCCTTTAAAACTGAACTGCCAAGCTCAATTCCAAAGCAAATAAAGGAATCTTAAACTTCTCTAAAAAGATAGTCAACAATGTCAGCAGACAAAATTGTCTTATCTCAAGTGATACTTGTTTTATGGGGGAATATGAAAAGACTTTAAGAGAAATTGTCTTAAGATACTCAATGAGATAAATGAAGAGATAACTTTTAAAAGAGGAAAAAGTAAAACAATGAGAGAAAGAAATGAAATTTAAAAATTGATGTGAAGGAAACAAACTGGAAGTTGGAAGTAAACATGTAGACATGTTAATTATCAAGAAAACAGCTACAAAAGAAGTTTGCAAAGTGAGTTTTGGCCTCCTGCTGGGAAATTCCATAACTATAGGAAGGTACAAAAGAGTTTGGCATTAAAGTGTGGCAGATGCCCATTGAGTTTGAAGTCAAATCTTAAATTATTTTTTTTTAAGTTATTCTCAACCAAACTAATGATTCATCACCTGCAGATTAAAAAAAAAAAATCACTGCTTGGTAGAATGCAAATTCCTGCTGCTTTGCCAATTACAACTCCTTAACTAGAGTATTGGAGGATGTCCCAGACATCTACAGATTTTCTCCAAAACTATCCCCAGCTGATTCTTTTCCACACCATTTGTGAGCAGCTCTGATGGGGTATATCAGATGGAACCGTTACACTGACCTATATTTAAAATCATGCCTTCAATTTTTCTTTCTAGAACATTCTGATATTTTCACAAGCAGCTCTTCTTTTGTCTTGCTTCAATTTATGAATGATTTGGGGCTTTTTTTTTTCTTTTCCTCTTTTTTTTGAGATACTGGGGTTTCCTCATGCTTGTTACACTTTTCCTCTCACATCACTTTTAATTTCCAGTGTCATGATAGAAGAAGAAGAAGAAGACAAAAGTGGAGTTCAGTCATCATCACATTTGTAATCTGTGTGGGTTTTACTAGCCATATCCAAAGTCTAAGTGATTGGCATGAAATTTTTCTAAAGGAATAATCTAATCTTATTTTCTTTTGTTAGGATTGTATTAAATAGCTTCAGTTTTGCCATGTAATTTAAATTATTCTTCATGTTGTGTGATTAAATATTCCACTCACTTGTTCTAGGGACTCTTAAGTTCTTTTTTCCTTCTGGAATTTTTTCTTCCTGTGGACAGTTTCTAATGGGTGTGTTCTAATATCCTGAATTGAGCTAGATGGCTTCCTTAGGCTTGCCTCTGGGTATAACACCAGAGCTGGATTCTAGCTGGTCTAAAATGAGTGGAATTTTATTCAACTGTCCTACACAGTTAACCCACTAGGGACAGAAACTGTACAATATTGAGTGAAGTCTTTTTTCCAGGTTTAAGATCATATACTGTTTGCCCCCGAACTTTGACATTTCATTCTCCAACTCTTCACTTTGAGGAATTTTTCTCACCCTGCCTGAAATCTTGAGCCTGCCACCTCTCAACTCAGCATTAATTTCCTTTGTTTGCAGTAGTGCATACTTGGATGTTCCTTAGGGACCTCCAGTTCTGACATCGCCTTCCTTCCTTTTCTTCGATTAGAGTTGTTCTGGGATGATAATGATGACGTGGCGAAAGCAGGAATTTCTTGGAGCTAGCAAAATTCTGGAGGGAGCCTGAGCCAGCCTTGTCTGTAAGACAGATTAAGCGGCCTCCTCCCTACCCTTTCACCCAAGGCTATTTTCCATTCCGGAATTATCCTCAAGCCAGCCAAAACCTGTCCCCGGGTGTGTAGATGGGGGCAGTAGGTGCTGGGCGATTCCAATTAGCAGTCTAATTTTAACTTGGCTTCCAGCCGGAGGGCTTCATCTCACAGCACATTTCAAACACCAGAGCCTCGGTCAAGTCTGTTACCTTGGACTTATTTTGGCCTGCCTGAGAGGTTACGGTCGATTACGTTTGAGGGTCATTTTCAAGCAAGACAGAATCAGGAATTGGAATGGAGGTTTTGAAGCAAATATGCGTTTTATCCTTAGTTATCAAGAAAGCACAAAGTGCCTGGAAATGACGTTCCCAGCGAGGGGAAATGGCCCAGCTGTGCTTTGTTTGGCTTTCTCTCATCTGCTCAACAGGAAAAATATTAATCAATGGGAAAATGCTTCTTTTCTGTATATTTAACACATGAGTTTTAGGTAGCATGGGAAATAGTAATATCTCATGCGTTTACATCACAGTTTTATTCCATGGACAACAAAGAACTTTTTAAAAATGCTTTTTACTTAAGCCTCAAATGTGCTCCTCTACAAATGCTTTATTTGCCTTGCACAGCTGAAACCCTGAGATAGAGAAAGTGCCCAGGTTCCCTATGGTCCTGGTGTAATTACGAGGAGGAGTGGATGTCTGGTGACCCTTTGTAACTTGCCACTGGGCGACACCTTTTTTTCCCATCAACAGGGAAGCAATTAGCAATTCAGTATTTCCTCATAAAACAAATTAGCAACGCTCCTCCAAGGAGATAAAGTGTATCTAAGGCAAGAGTTCCACAACTGGGCTTTCCAGGTTTCCCTCCCTCTCTCTCTCTCTCTCTCTCTCTCTGTTTATTTTCTGAACTTTGATGGAAAGATGACTTACAGAAACAAAATGCACACATCAGAAGGGTGCAGCCCAGTGCCTTCCCCAAGAGAGCACAGCCGTGTAACATGCATCTCATCCTCTCTCGTTCAAGGTGATGAGGCTTCGCAAACTGGCCCAGCAGATTGCCAACTGCAAACAGTGCATTGAGCGGTCGGCCTCCCTCATCTCCCAAGCAGAGCACTCTCTAAAGGAGAACGACCATGCCCGCTTCCTGCAGACTGCTAAGAATATCACTGAGAGGTGAGTGCAGGGGCTGCTGGGAAGTTCTCAGGCTGCTGGCCGCTTGGCATCTGGGGTGTGATTGGTTGGCCTTGCTCTCATCATGCTTTTATTTTCATTTTCAAGGCTGAGTACCAGAGAGAATGGAAGCTTTGAGCCGTTTTGTTCCAGCTAAAGATGCTTCCCTTTGACATGTCAAAGCCCTTTCGGTAACAACCTAGAGTTCAAGGTCTTTGAAACAACAATCCACCAGTTAGGAAGAATAAAATGAAGCTGCTATGGGAGGGAGGGGATCTTATCATGGCACAGAAACCGCATTTCTGACTCACACCTGATCTTATCGTACACTTATAACAAAGAGTCGAAGTGAAGGCGAAAACATGAAAGTGAACCTTATCTTCCATTGCAGGGTTCATTTGTCTAAAAACAATAATCGCACAGGTGTTTCTCTGTTGGACCTGTTTTTACTTGGTTGAGAAGCCTGGCCTCACCTGAAAATGTCAAGGCTGACTTATGTAGAAAAGAAAGGGCCAAACTGTCAAGTTCACACTGCCTTCTTTTCAAATACCTTCTATTCCAGTGGAGGGCAGTTAAAAATGATGTTAGCTGAAGGGCTGCCCCCGTGGTAAAACTGGCATGGATGAGCATTCTTTCATTACAGCCTACTCCACTGGCATGAAAGTTACTTGTCCCTATAGGTGCACATACCTGGAAGAATTCTACTGGACCCACAGAGAAGCACCAATTCCACATAAATGACTTCTCTGAGCAATGCCAATGGCCTTGACTTTTAATTCATTCAAATTTTTGGAATCATTCCCCCTTTCATGAACAGACTCCTCTTCAGCTCATTCCTCTTCAGCTCCTTCATGCTGGGTCTGTATCCTAGCACAGAAGTCTGTGAACTGTTTGTGAAGAATTAAGAGAGTAAATATTTTTTGGATTTGCAGGTTAGAAGGTCTTGGTTCCAACTTCTCAGCTCTGCCTGCAGAGCCCCACAACCGTTCCAGATAATATGGGAACAAATGGGTGTGGCTGTGTGCCAAGAGCCATTTACAAAAAAGGCTGCAGGTAGCACTTTGCCAACCCATGGCCTGCGGGGGACGGGGGTGGCCACCAAGAAGGAGACAAGAAACTAACGTTTATTGAGTGCTTGCTTGGGTCAGACGCTGCTAATTTTCAAAATATCATTTACAGGTAGGCTTTGGTATTTCCATTTTCTCTGTTCTTTAAGAGTAGTATACAGACTGAGTGCCAGTGACTCACACCTGTAATCCTAACTACTCAGGAGGCAGAGATCAGGAAAATGACAGTTCGAAGCCAGCCCAGGCAAATACTTCGTGACACCCTATCTCGAAAAAACCCAT